AAGTCAAAAAATTTCATAGATGAGTCAGAAAGCAAGATTAGGCAGGAGTAAGGTTTAACTTATAAACCTGCTGGAAACGGGCCACAAATCTGGTGCTGAACTTCCTTGCAGCCAAATGAAAATGGAAATGCAATTGCCTATAAACTTCACAGTGATCACAAGTTAAATATTAATCTGTTGCTCAGGAAATAGCTCATGTATTCCTATAATTTGACCTAAATAATTCTTTTCCATGGGCTTTTCATGTCACAAGGAACTTAGATTTGTACCTCGTTTTTTTCTTTCCTAAGAAGAGGGGGCTGAGGTGAATCCTTTCCTTGGTTCCTTCTAGCTCTTCTGTGCTCTGACATTTTGCTGTATTATTTTGATAACTGTTCTATTTGTTTTACATTACCTGAACAGTGGACGTATTCTCCTGAATCTATTATTTAGTTATGCAGAATTTGGCAGATCTAAGTATAAGGTATGAAATGAGAAGGCTGCTCCTTAAAGATTAATTTAGGTCTTTGTAAATACTCTTTGTATTCTATATCCAGGGTTTGGAGCCAGTAAAGAACTTGTCATGTCAAATACTTCATCTTCAATCATCATCACTATCTTTGGGCATAATCACCATTCATGATATAAATGAACTATCTTGCTCATTGTTGGTATAGAAATTTGCTGAGTGAATGGCTTTAGGTGGAATAGCTTCAATGGTTTATTTTATTTTATTTTAATTAATAGGTTTTCTTTGTAGAGCAGTTTTCTGTATACCTAAAACTGAGCAGATAGTACAGAGAAAGTTCCCACCTACTTCCTCTACACATCACTCAGTTTCCAATATTATTAACATAAAAGTGGCCTAGTACACAGATTTTTGCACATTGAAAAAAAGTTAACACATTAAGCGCCATTCAGAAGACAAAATAGACTGGGTGCTTAACATGCTAATTAGAAGAAATATTTTAATATCGCTATTTACCCTTTCTCTATAATAGAAGTGTCAAAGATGAAAGAAAATTAGTAAAATGTATATGAAAATAATATATAAATTGATATTAAACAATAATAACATCAAAAACATGAGATAAAAACAACAAAAACATGAGATAAAAACAATGACTGATAAATTAATGAAACTTATTCTAATATCTTCCTATATACCACATTAAGAATAAAAACACTTTCAAAGTGCTTTACTAATTTTCCTTATGATGAAGTATTTACAACTTTAATGTCACACACTCTTCAAACTGGAGAGAAAGCAACATATAACTGACCATGTCTGAAACCAGGTTCAGGTAGGAATATTGCTGCTCTGTCTAATGTCTGTCTTTGGGCTTTATTAATAGTCATTGCAAATGCTGCATCACAGGAAACTGTCTTCAAATTAATTTAAATAGGAGGCCAGTGTCAGATGGGGGCAAATCAATTCTTGGAATCAAAACATCCTCTCCTTCTGCAGATCCTTCAGCTTCGAGAAACACAGGCGTGCAATTGGTGCCAGTGAGAACTTTGTATGTACAGCACATGAGCAAGTCAACATTTATTTTTAAATTGCCTGTGCCCGTCATATGTACCAGCCAATGGGTTAGTCAAACGGTTGGACAGACAAACAGACAGTCACTTAGCCTTTTATGTATATAAATTATGTTAATGTAGTCATTTGTTACAATTGATGATCCATTATTGATTATCATGAACTAAAATCCATAGTTTACATCAGGGGTCACCTTTTGTGTTTAATGTAAGGTTCAACCTAAGGGTTTAGCCCAGTGGTCGGCAAACTCTTTAGTCAACAGAGTCAAATATCAACATTACAATGATTGACTGAAATTTCTTTTGAGAGCCAAATTTTTTAAACTTAAACTTCTTCTAATGCCACTTCTTCAAAATAGACTCGCCCAGGCCATGGTATTTTGTGGAAGAGCCACACTCAAGGGGCCAAAGAGCCACATGTGGCTCGCGAGCTGCAGTTTGCTGACCACGGGTTTAGCCAAATGCAAAAGGTCACATATCTACCATGACAGCTTCAAACAGAATAGTTTCACTCTCCTAGACTTAGGTGGGATAATTCCAATAGTATTACAATAGTAATACCTTATGTGATGCTACCTCATTCATTTTCAAAGACAAAAGTTATACATATACTAGTGCCCCCCAAATATGGCCAATTGTTTTAATTTAGCATAGGGCCAGCATTTATTTCCCAGTTTAGGATATAAAATTTTGTGGACTTCATTTTCATAAATATTTATAAAACTTGAAAATTTGTCTGAGGTGCTCAATCCTATCATCATTTATTATTCCAAAAGAGCATGTGGTGGCTTAGCACAACACTCTGATGTTGCAACAAGATGTCAAATTATATATTCAAGACATAGCACTGAACAGTCTTTTCCTAGGGAGCATTGTACTTTTCTAAATATTTGATAAATCCAATGGAGTGATTTAGGTCTTCAAGTTTTTAAGAGTTGTGGTTTATACTCAGTAGGAAGGATTTCTACCCCAGAAACAAAAGCATGAAATTCCTGTGTTATTTAAGGATTTATTTCTTAAATGAGTTGCCCATGAAAGGAAATAAATGAGTATCCAGATACCCACACACCCAGACATGCCTTTTATTTTATACTAGAGGCCTAATGCACAAGATTCGTCCACAGGGGGGAGAGGGAGGTGGTTGGGGGACAGCAGGGTGTCCCTCAGCCTGGGTTGCACCCTCTCGCAGTCTGGGACCCCTCAGGGAATGTCCAACTGCCCGCTTAAACCTGATCACATTGGGGATCGGGCCTAAGCCAGCAGCCAGACATCTCTCTCACAGTCCGGGGCTCTCACAGTCCAGAACCCTTTCCTTCTTAACACCTGCCTATAGCAGAGGCCCAAGAGGCTCCCACCATCACCGCTGTGCCCGCCAGCCATAAGCCTGGCTTCTGGCTGAGTGGTGTTCCCCTTGTGGGAGCACACTGACCACCAGCATTGAGCTGCCCCCTGGTTGTTAGTGCATGTCATAGTGACTAGTTGATTTGCATATTAGGCTTTTATTATACAGGATGATCCTGATATTTCCTGAGGTCTCAAGATGCCAGGCATCCATGACAATCAGACAAATGATCACATTTAGTTAGTGAACATATATATTCTCAGTGAGCACATCTTTGAGGGGAAAGAAAATGAGAGAGACTTATATTTGCTTACATGTAATTATTCAACAAATATTAATTGAGGTCCTACTATGAGCTGTGTATTGGGCTAAATATAAGAACAAAAGAGTCTAGTGATGACACAGACAATTAGCAATTATAAGACAAATTGAAGGTATATGAACATAGTATTTTAGATTTCGGGGATACTTAAACCCTATCATTTCTCAGATGAAGCTAAGAAAGGTCAAAGACCAATGAATTTTTAAAAAATGAATAGTAGAGCCTCGAATAGAACTGACACTTAGTTAAGTATTCCCAAATCCACCCTTTTGTTCTTGCTTAAATAGTATTGCATTATTCTGATAAATATGAGACACATTTTTTAAAAAAGTTTATTGTTGAATGTATTACAGATGTCCACTTGGTGGTTCCCCCCCCCCCCCCCATCGACCTCTTCACCCCTCCCAGGCTTTCACTACACTATTGTCTGTGTCCATGGGTTATGCACGTTGAGACATCTTTAATAGTTTAATTTGTGCCAACTATATCCCTTAGAATAGTTAGGGGAGAAGGAAGATGCCTACAGAATTCTAGTGAAGTTTAATTTAATCTGCCTTGGGCGAAATTTAAGCTAAAGTTGTTAGCTGAGAGACATACCGAAAGAGGTATGAAAACACAAGAGAACTGTTGCTGCTTTTTTCTAAGTTTGTTACAGATCAGAATTTCATCACTGGAGTTAAAAGCATTGGGGACATGTTGAATTACTTTTCTGATTGTATCTTTAAAATTTTTCAACAGCTGTGTTTATTTTAGACATTAATCTTTGAGGCTGTCTCAAGAAAATATAAAAATAAAATGTTTTTTAAATAACAAGATCTTGTAACGAGTACTGAGGGTCACCTTTGTTCAAATATGGCTCAGAAAAGACAGATGAACCATTGAGCAATTGAACTGTATCTGGTAAAATTGAACAGATAATATTAATATATATATCTCCTCCTTCCTACCTCTTGATCTGAGTGATTCCCACCAATGCAAATTCTGACCTACCTCTTTTGTTCAGTTTAAGAAGAGAAAGTAAAAAAGATATATTAGTGCATGTGCTAGATCAGTCACTGCCCTGATTTTATCTCTGCCTTTCCCATTCTTTTAAATTAGGTTTTTCATTTTTCTTAAAGTTTCATGTTTCTTCATTTGATCATGCAGCATCAATAATGTCTCTATATTTGCAGCTAGTCAGGCTGTAGAATATATCAACTATATTTTTAATGGTACACATGAAATTGCATTATAATATCCCAAAGGCTGGAGATTGATTCTATTAAATTACAAATAAATGTAGAACATTCAGGGATGCTGGAATTACAACCAATGGTACGTTGTGTGACATATGGAATGGAATGTTTTCTTGATAGTTAAAAATTGCTTCTGTTGTCTGAATATCATAAAGGAGTTTTAAGTTGTGTTTAAAGTAAGGTAACAGAGTGAAACACACATTTCAAAGAAAATACTACAATATGTTATATACTAACCATGTTCTAGGAAAATTTTTCCTCTTTGCAGGTGTCCTGCCTCTGAGAATTTGCCTTTACCCATGGTCCATCTGAATCAGCGTCACAATGAGTTGCAAAGATCTCAAATTAACATCTAGTTGCCCTTATCGTTTACAGCAGTGCTGTCGTATAATTACATCATTTGGATCCTGTTTATGACCACACAAGGAATACGACTCTCAGTACCTTACCTATTATGCACATGGTCCTTTGTCCCCAGGGGGCTGAATAAGAAGAAAACTAACACTATTAAATGTCTCCTGTTAGACTCATTGCTAAGAGCTCCTATGTAAAGTCTTCTTGCATCTTTTTTTGTTACCAGAAGATGTAAATGTTCTGAACATGAAGCATTTCCCACTTTCCTCGATAACCACCAGTCAAGTTGGGAAGTCATGAGAAAAGGAGCAGAAAGAAAATGAAATGAACCTCCAGCTATAGTGGAAAAGGTAAAAGCAAAGTCACCCTCATTGTGGAGAATATTCATGTTTCCTAGCAGATGCCTGGGAATATCGTTGCCTAAAGCTCTCCTTTCTGCTGGTCACATTCACAGAGCACAACAGCCTGTGTGCGCTCTTGTGCAGATAACCGAACCATAACGCTCAGAGCAAGCATGGTCACTGTGAACGCCTTGTCCATATGCTCACCCAGGGGCCACTGACTGACAGCCCACTCCTGGGAGATTGCCTGCATCTCCTGGCCTGCGGGGGCTGCTGCTCCTCAGACAGGGAGCAAGGGCATGGCCTCATTGAAAATGCTGGGCAGTCAGTGCCCCCATGTGCGACCCTCAACCAAACAGTGGTGGGCTGTGGGCGAGGTGTGTACTTGGGTCATCAAAGAAGCAGGTGCTAAAGGGAGATTAAAAAGGAAATGCCCTTGAAAGGACACAGGGAGAGACCAGGAAAGCTGGGAGAACTGGGAGACCCTGATGCAAGTCTGACCTGAGGAAATCCCTGACCAGGAATTTGGTGGGTGCATCCTACATGGTGTGAGCCCCGTCAGGAATTCCTCAAGCCGAAGTCTCCCAGAAAGGAGTCCACCTCGCTCAGGAACATGTCCACCTCTATCTCCCCGCCACACCAGGTTATTAGAGGGAGCAGCCGGGGGAGAAGTGGTCTCAGCATAAATGTGGCCAGGAATTTCCCTGCACCGGCCCTGGGCCTTCAGCCAGTTAGCTCCCTGAGTAGCTGGTCTGCCAGACGGATTAAAGCATCCATTTGAGGGGACAGTTGGGAGGTGTGTCGCACCCAGTTGATTCCTCAATGGACAGGTATGAGGTAATATAGTTTTAAGTTTCATTTCTGATGATTAGTGATATTGGGTATCTTTTCATATATCTTTTGGCCATTTACTAACATATGGTGGAGAAGTGCCTATTTGGGTCTTTTGCCCATTCTTTAACTGGGTGATTTGGGTTTGTTTCTTTCTTTTTGCATTTGAGTTGTATGAGTTCCCTATATATTTTATTTATTTTTTAAAAAATATATTTTATTGATTTTTTACAGAGAGGAAGGGAGAGAAATAGAGAGCTAGAAACGTCAATGAGAGAGAAATATCTACTAGCTGCCTCTTGCACACCCCCTACTGGGGATGTGCCCGCAACCAATGTACATGCCCTTGACTAGAATCGAACCTGGGACCTTTCAGTCTGCATACCGACGCTCTACCCCTGAGCCAAACTGGTTTCGGCTATATATTTTAAATAATAACCCCTTATCAGATACATGGTTTGCAGGTGTTTTCTCCCATTCCCAAAGACAATGCTTTTCCATGACATTTAGTTACTGAGCTCTGTCTACTTTGAAGCAGGTCCTTAGCCATGGCTAACTTGGGGAGCCAGTTTTATGCTCAAAGGGAGATGCTTAGGTATGTGGAATGGGTTATTTCTTATTAGTGGGCCCCAAACATACTACTAATGCTTACTTCTCTCCTGAATTCTACCATCTTTCTGATTCCAATTCCTGAGCTTCCTCTAAAGAAGTTGGAATAGACCTTAATACTGGTAAAATGTTTCTTTAAATTATTTGCTTAGAACACTTCTTTTTCATCTAATGACACGAGAATGTGGTTAATTAGAGCTAACACAATTAGGTCAAAGTATCTGCAGAAATACTGTATTTTATCTCTGAGAGCATCACACGGCTTCAGTGTATTTTTCCCGCTAATTGAACACGGACCAGGAAAGCCAGGACAGAAGCATGTGACTTTCACACCAGGCCTATCCCCTAAGCCCAGGAGATCACCTGCATCCCCGCTCTGGCAGAATAGAATGAATTTTGAAGTTGGTTCTGCCTCATTGAACCCTTTATTAGAAAAATCATAAATCCGGTGGTCAGAGTGGGGCTCTAGGCCCTGACTTCTCAGGTGAAGTCCCCAGGTAGATGTGCCTTAAAGTTGCTATGACAACAGGGATGATGTGCTGCTCTGTGTACCTACCTATTAGGTGAAGCCACAGTGAGGCCACCCAGGCATATCTCTGCTCCTTGTTCTGTGGCAGACAGAGGCAGCATTGTGTTCTGTATATCTCATTCTTGCACCCTGCCCTCCTGACTCCTTCCCACAGATGGTACTCTTACCGCAAATGAGTGTCATTGAGGTAGGGACTCCCCATCCCCTTTCTTAGATTAGTGGGCTTCCAACTATTATAATCTGGATGACACTATCACAGTCTTCTTGGTAAATCCTCAATCCTAACTCAGCTCTATTTGTGTTTTTTTTTTTTCTATTTAAACCCCACATTACAATGGGGAGCATGGTATGGTATTACCAAGGTCTTAGTATTCAAGATAAATGCTAATTCCTATTACTATTATTTTCATACACATACTGGTAAATATATGTCAACATTAAAATTAGGTAGAATGTTCTCTTAAGGTAAAAGAAAATTATTCCTAAGAAAAGACATTCTGTACCTTTATACTATCATATATATTTAATTTATATATGCATGAAAGTTGTGCACAGGGGGGGGTGTCCCTCTACCCAGCCTGCACACTTTCCAATCTGGGACCCTTCAAGGGATGTCTGATCAGTTAGGCCTGATACCATGGGCAGTCTGACATCCTTCTCACAATTCTGCCTGCCAGCCTGAACACCCCCTAACCACTCCCCTAACAGCCTGATTGATGCTTAACAGCTCCCCTGCCAGCCTGATTGCCTCTAACTGCCCTCCCGTGCAGGCCTGGTCACCCCTAACTGCCCTCACCTGCAGGCCTGGTCCCTCTAACTGCCCCCCCCGCCCCACTGCTGACTATCTTGTGGTGGCCATCTTGTGTGTTGGAGTGATGGTCAATTTGCATATTACTCTTTTATTAGATAGTATAGAGGCCTGGTGCACAGGTGGGGGCTGGCAGGTTTACCCGGAAGAGAGTCCCAGATCAGGGTGAGAGTTCCCTTGGGGTGCAGGGTGGCCTGGGTGAGGAGCCTTTGGGATTTGTAGGCCGACCACACCCCCCGGCAACCCAAGCAGAAGCCCTGAGATCTGGGATTTATTTATCTTCTATAATTGAAACTTTGTAGCCTTGAGTGGAGGCCAGGGCAGGCCAGGAAATTTGGCTTCCTCCATTGCCTGGGAAACCCAAGCCTCCTGCTCACTCCATGGCTGCCACCATCTTTGTTGGGTTAATTTGCATGCTCGCTCCTGACTGGCTGATGGGCGTGGCTTGTGGGTGTAGCATAGTGATGCTTAATTTGCATGTTTCTCTTTTATTAGTATAGATATATATATTCACATACCAGTACTGGTCTCAGAATTGGTATTTAGAAACTAATATGAAATAGCATCAATAATGAATACTTACTGTGTGTTGGCTATGTGCCAGCACTGTTCCATTGCTTTACAAGCATTATCTCATTTAATCCCCACAGTAACACTTGAGGTAAGTACTGTTACTGTTTCCATTTTACAGTTGAGGAAACTGAGGCAGTGAAAATAAGTAGCTTATTCTAGTTGATGGATTCAAACTTTGCACTTGAACTCCAGGGCCTGCATATTTAATACTTCTGTTTTACTGCAGTGGTTCCCAGAGCATGGTCAGGAGCCAGCTGCATCAGCAAAACTTGGGAACTCATTGAAAATGCAAAATTTTGCGTCCTACTATAGACCTACTGAATCAGAAATGGGAGGTGGGGGCCCAGCTACCTATGTTTTAATAATATGGGATTCTGAGGCAGGTTAACATTTGAGAACTTTCACAGTATGCCATTCTAAGATATACACAACAACGTAAATACACATTATGTATTTTCCGTCTCTTTGAAAAAAATATTGTATATTCCTTAAGAATGATGAAATCAAGCTCTTTAACATTTATCTTATATAGTAAAAGTTTATCTTCTATAGTATAGGTCGCATTGTGGACCTCCATAAAATATTTATTAAATTGAAAAGGAAATGCTACTGTCTGTCTTGGATGACTTAATTTAATTGTCTGTAAAGATGAGATGCCAGATTAGAGAACTTTTTTGAGATTCTCTGTAGCTCTGGCAATCCCTAATATTGTAACTGTCTTTTGTTGTGTGTATTTGTGATAATCAGGAATTACATGAATATAAAACTAATACAGCATTTTGCTTGTATGTGCGATTATCGTTAAAAACACAGCATGAATCGTAGCAACATATGGCATTTAAAAATAAGCTTTTCATTTACACCAGGAGACACAGAGCTCATTTTTGTTTTGCCAGAGAGAGTGTGATATTGGTAAGTAAAGGTTTGAAGAAAGTGTTTTTCTTTATAATACACTTGAAAGATTTCTCTCTCTTATGCACAGCATTGGCACTGCATCTATCTTGCAGATGCAGATCAACAGGACAATTCAACTACTTTTCCAGAAAAGTCCTCTAGAAATAACAATATCACCATTATTAGTGATTGTATGCAACAGGAAACCTGCAATCCCACTGAAATACCTGACATGTGGTCGACTCTAGATATTACATGTGATCAAGCACTAACAAAATGCTTAGAAAAGTATCAAAATTATAATTATATACAAGAATTTGAAGTGGCACGGATTTTCTGCAGTTGTTACCAAGAGTTTCATTGAAGACTTCCTTCATTTCACTATCTCAAGGATGACATTGTATGTCCATTAATGAAGAGAGAGATAAACAAATTTGATGCTCATTTTTAATCTCTTTGCCAGTAACAAAATCAGACTGAGTTCTTATACAGAATTTGTTAGGTTACTAAGATTTTATAATGTCTATGTACAGAGCTCCAAAGGGTACTTTACTATTAATACTGCACTCCCAGATGTCTTTATTATTATTTGCTAAATGTAATTGGCAACATACACTCAAAATGTTCTCCGCATTTACAATTTCTCTCGCGCTTTTTTTTTTTTCAGAGATGCCTACATGAAGAAATGTGCTAAGAAGACTATAAATTTCTAAAACTTTTCTATCACCTCAAGCAGAAACTCTGTAACCAGTAAGCACTAACCCCCTATCTCCCCCACCCCCGGCCCACAGTAACATTTATTCTGCTTCCTGCCTCTATACATTTGCCTACTCTAGATATCTCATATAGGTGGGATCATGCAATATTTTCCTTTTGTGTCTGGCTTATTTTACTTAGCATAATGCTTCCAAGGATCATCCGCCTTGTAGCATGTATTGGAATTTCTTTCCTTTTTATGGCTGAATAGCATTTCATTATATGTACATATATATACTCCAATTTGTTTATATTTTTATTTGGTGACAGACATGTGGATTATTTTCTGCATTTGACTGTTATTAATATACTGCTATAAACATGCAATCCTAGTTATATATTAGAACAACGTATGGAACATACTGCTGCCTGGGCCTCACCTCAAATCAACCAAATTAGACATTCTGCGGATGAGATGCAGTCATGGTTGTGTGTTTTTGAACCCCCCAAGTAATTCTATTGCATGGCCAGGGCTTCAAACCCTGCACATCTTATTTTATTGTGCTTCTCTGATACTGCATATTTTACAAATTGAAGGCAAGCCCCTCCTCCACCAACCAAAAGTTTCTGACTCACTTTAGTGTGATACTTGTTTTGCTGCAGCAGTCTAAAAACAAACCTGCAATATATCTGAGGTATGCCTGTACATAAGGCAAATTAAGTCCAAGTATGGGTGCAGTTTCTTTACGAGTGGTTTCTCAAGACGGTGTGTAGGATTTAGTGTGTAGAAGCGTCACGTGGAGGGCTTGTTGAAAAGATCTATTTCCAGTCTGCAGACTGGGAGAGTCTGGCTCATTAGGTCTTGGATAAGACTTAGGAATCCCGTTTGTAAAAAAGATACCCTTCGGGGGATTCTAAAGTTGATGGCCTGGAACCCCACTCTGAGGAACGCTGACTTTAAGACTGTTTAGCTTGGCATAGAGAACTGCACATCCTTGTTGCATGATGATTACCATGCCATCTTTGCATCTTTAATTACAAGAAGCCGTTTGTCATAGGACAAACATGGGGAGAGCATTGAGATGGCTCAGAAAATATTCTTCACTTTTACACAGATATAATTCAGGACCAATCAGAACATCAGCTATACCATCTATAATAATAAAAGCATAATATGCTGACTAGTCCAGATGTCCTTCCTTCTGGACAAAGCCACAGTGGCAGGGGTGAAGGTCCTTGCATGAAGTTTGTGCATCGAGGAGCCTCTAATGCCTAATAAAAGGGCCATATACACAGCAGAGCAGAGCTGAGTGAAGGATTCTGGTACTCCTCTCCCACTGGCTCATTTATAAGTTCTGTCTTCTATTCTAGTAATCAGTTCTGATGGCTGAAAGATTTTATAGTTAGATTGCATCAACCAGTGACTTTTTATAAAAGAGGTGTTAAAATGCTTACAAAATCAATAAAATTTTAAAAAGCTTAAGCACCAGTGTCTTATGTTTTTCTGACTCCCATTTTGTGCTTATGCTACAAATGCATATAAGATAGTGACTTTCATTAAGTTGTGCTTGGATTCATTTAGCTGATGTTTACTTTGTAAGATAATATTTTAGATCATGATGTTTTAATTCTGAAATACACATAATACATACACACACACATTCAACTTTTTCAGAACTAAAACATACTTATATGCTTTATTGTCTCCAGTCACACTTCCAGGGGTGCTGATCAATTTCTTCACACCTAGATGCCAACATCATGGAGTGACAATGCATTTTTCACGTCCTCAGGTTCGCTGCAATAAATAAGCTCTCAGATTATTCCAACTTTCTACTCTGGTTAATGCTGGAAAGGTTTTTGGTATCTGATAGCCAGACATGAGAAAATTCTGTCTTCCCAAGCATGGACAGAAATGTACTTCACTTACGTGTAAAATTATGAAGGGTGTAATTTTGCACTCAAACTTTGATTATAATAATTCTTTCACTTAATATGCCCTGTTACTTCTTTGCTCGGCCCCTGGAATCTGACAGCCTTCTCTTCCCAGAAGAGAACAAATAGAATTTTGCCAAAATATGGCTTGGAGGGGAACGAGGAGTTGACAGTTTTATTACTCCTTTCTTATTTGTGTTATCCTATAAGTTTGACTCCTAGATTCTGACAGCTTTCCAAAAAGTGATCTTAAGACTTTGCAAGTGTCCCATGAATGACAAATTCATGGCAAATTTTGACTGTTTTATCAAAGCTGGTCAAACAGCACAAAGTTTTCTTTCTGAAAACCTCCTGCAGCTGACACAGAAAGGTAGTAACCTGACAGCTTAGATGGGTAAGTGTCCATGATTAGACCTCTTCCTTTGGGTCCTGAGGTCAAGACACCATATATTCTGGGTCTGGAACTCTAGTCTTGGTCTAAGAATCCAGAGAATCCAGAGATTCCCAAGAGAGCTTAAAACTTGAAGCATATAGTTAGGTTATATTTTAGCTTTAAAGCCTATAGAGGATCTGGTCCTCTTAAAGCATCTTCTGGGTGAATCTTATCAAGGTGATGATAGAACCCAAAGCCTCTCTTGAGAAGAATGAGGAATGAACTGAGAATGTTTATCTAGAGAGAAGAAAGGTTCAGTAGGGGACCCATTGTGTATCTTCAAGGACTAGGAAGAATTCCAGGTCTTACTATAGATGTGATGAGAACAGCACCCTGGCTCTCTGGATCATGACAGTGTCCTCAGCCCCTAGAGCTGATTTTAATTGATTTTAATTCCTCATACATGGGCCTGTGCTCTGGGACTGAGGAGCAAGGTTGCCCTTCAGCTCTTTCCCTGGAGCTCAGCCATCAGCTCTCACTCAGCTCCAGCATCATGGTCTTGGCATTTGGTTGCAAACAATACCATTCTGCAAAAGTCTTACAGTTTAAAGCAAGAGGCAAGATTTTTACTTCACCTTCTCTAATGGGAGCTTGTTGTCAAAACAATACATGCTGGAAAAATATTAAATTTTATACTAATAAGACCATGGAAAACATGTCTGCCCAGTGGGGGTCCACAGCGAAAGTTTCAGTATAAGAGGGCCTCACAATTCCAGCAGGTCTCTAGCAGATTCAGTGACCTTTTGTAGGACTCCTTGCAACCCACAGGGTGCTTGGTGGATGTTTATACTGCCAGGCTTGTCAAGTTATTGCCACTCCATAGATATAACAACAACAAAATGTTTAAATACTATTAGTAGAAAAATAACACTATACATTTTTGTGGAGGACACATCTTTGCTAAAAGAAGTAACTCTTTGAGGCCCAATGGATGCTAATGGGAAAGCACTTGGGCTGCACATCATTCTGAATGTTCATTCTCAGGTTCAAAGTTATTGTAACGAGACTTTCATAGCTTGATAGTGTTGGCCTGAGGGCTGCATATGCTCACCCATTAACTAACCTTCTTGTGTCTCCGTTATAACTTTCTCATGCAAGCTCAACAGGTTTTATTACAAGTAGTTTCCTGGAAGATAGGATTGTGACTTGCTATAGTCTTCTTGTCACTTAGGCAGAACCTTCGAAGGGAGAGATCCTTAATGGATTCACCTATATCTAACTGGCTTTCAGAGATGCAGGTCCAAAAGTAGATCTTGTTATTTTCTCAGAGAGAGTAATACTAATCAAAATTATAGCCACGTGATATATGCATGAGAGATTAATTTCCATGAAAGCTCAAATCACCTCATCAGACAGAATGGTAATTGCCTTAGATAAGCTCATCCTGGCCCACCAAGTAAGATCTATGTGGGAAGGCACTTGATAATCTATGTCATCAAAGCACAATGGTAATTTATGATTAATGGCATCAAACAATAATAGCTTAACATCAACGAATACTTTCTATGATACATTCTAGGGCTTTACTTATGACCAACTTCTCTAGTCCTTATGCGTTAGGAAGCATTCTAAATGCTTTCATATATTCATGTATTTCACTATTCATGAGTTAGCTATTAGTATTACCATCTCCACTTTATAGATGAGTAAACAAGCCCAGAGAAGTAATAACTTGCCTGAAATCACTGGGCAGTGGTGGAACTGGGATTTGAACACAGGTTTATGGCTCCCCCCCGTCCCCTTTTTAAATCCCAATATATTATACTCTTCTCTGCTCTTTGGAGATGCATCGAATATACCTGCACCATCTGCTCAATGAGCCCCTCCTCCCAGATAATAACATGAACTCTGAAATGTTATCCCTCACACTCATTTTCCTGATTTTCAATGTCCACACATGCTCTCTTAGATGATGTTAACCTAATTGATTAGCCATTGTCAAGGCCTGATCTTTCTGCTTTTAGCCTGGGCCATACCTTTCAAGGTGACTTTTCTCTATGTTTGACCTCATGCATCATGTGCTGTCTTTATCTGTCTGCCTTTCAAAAGGCTGGAGATTCCCCTCCAAGAGTGTGGGCTACTTGGTATTGTCAACAGATACATTCAAATGTTTTAGGACAATCTATAATACATTCAATGAAACACATCAATTAAAATTCAAAAAGAAAGACACAGAAGGGGGGAAAAGTGATGAACAAAGTCATTCTATATCTCAAAATATGTTGTCCTGGAATCTTTGCTAATATGATCGGTAAATGTCACTCTCTTTTTATTTAACTTTTTGAGAGCACCACGTCCAGCATCACACAACTAGAGAGAAAGCAGTTATTGAAATTTGAGAACTACATAAGAGGTAGAAAAAGAAATGGAGGTACAAACCATGTCTAAGCCAAAGAGACAGCTTGTACTTATTCCTTCACTGCTCGGAGAAAAATAGTATCCAATATCGATGAAGTAGGCGCTTGCAATGACAGAATTCTGTCAATACCAACTGGTGGAGTGCATTCTATTTGCTTGTCAATGCACTTTTTGATAACCAGAGGCTTTGGCTGTGCATATACAATGACAAATAAAAAGCTCATTTCAAACAGCCAGGGGCTTCCAAACATCTCAATATTTTTCATAATGTGTGAAAAATAAGGTTTTTTGCTAATGTCTTTCTCACATTTTTGTCAGAAAGTTTTAACAATGTGACAGCAATTTCTGAATCTATATCGTGTGCCTTAAATGGCTTGCATACATTAAATATTCCACTTGAAGTCTGCATTGCAGGCTGAATTTTGCTTATTCCTGGCATTATGGTACTAATGAGAGTAGCTATAGCTAGATGTTTTAAGTTACTAGAAGTAAACGGTAAAAGGCAGGTGTTTGGAACACAATTAAACCACTTAAATACCCCCATTAAAAAGGGAAATGACTACATTGCAAGTTAGAAATAATATGCTTTGAAAAAAATTGCTATTAAGTCCATGTTAATAGAACAATTGGTGGACAGTGCAGAGAAGAGTTCACTGGAGCATGGGGGTGACATTTAGTGAGTATGCTCTTATTGACTGATGCCAACCAGCTTCTGATTTGTTGGATTCTGTTCTGATTAGTGGGTATCTTGTTCTGGTTGATTGATTCCTATCAACTGTTAAATATTTAGATTGACTCCTAAAACAATTGTTAAATATTTTGAATATTACCTCCACTTGAGACCATACTCTAGCATCATCTAGCCAACAAAATCCCAATAGAGAGCTGTTATCAAATACCACATTTCCTAGCAATAAAAGGGCATCCTTGGATGTATTTATTTATTTCATTAAGTATCTTAGAATAAATACCAAAAAGAAAGCAATAGAATGGAAAGCTGCAAAATAATGAAAAAAATTATTTATAATAGTAAACAACCATTTACATAAACGTCATATGTGCCAGGCACTGTTTTAAGCACTTTACATATAATACCCCATTTAATTTTCACAGCGTAGATGAGTACTGTTAGTAACATCATTCTATAAATGAGAAATTGAGGCACAGAGTGAATGATAACTGGCTGAAGTTTACTACCTAATAAACTGCAGAGAGTGAATTCAAATCCAGGGATCTGGCTCCAGAGTCATGATCTCAACTCCTCTTCCATCTCCATTACAAAAATATGTACAATTTCATATAAACACACAAGTTAATAAATATTTTTTATTGAGTTTATTGGGATAACCCATTGGTTAATAAAAGTATGTAGATTTCAGGTGTACAGTTCTATAATACATGGTGTGTATATTGTATTGTGTGTTCACACCCAAAGTTAAGTTTCCTTCTATCACCCTTTATCCTTCAAGTGCCCATCAGTAGATGAGTGGATAAAAAAATCTGTGGTATACTTACATAGTGGAATACTAGTTGGCCATAAAAAAAAAGGAACTCTTAACTTTGCAACAGCCTGGATGAGCCTGGAGTATATTATGCTAAGTGAAATAAGCTAGTCAGAGAAAGACAAACACCATATAATTTTATATGTGGAATCTACTGAACAAAATAAACTAGCAAACAAAATAGAGACAGACTCATAGATACAGAGAACAGACTGACAGCTGTCAGAGGAGAGGGGTGTTGGGGAGGCTGGATAAGAAGGGGGAAGGGATTAAGCAAAAATCAACTCATAGTTAATAAATATTTAAAAGCGATAGACAGAAAATATATGAAGAAATAAATCCTATTCTAACTACAGTAAAAATTGCAGCCTTTTTTTGAAATTAGAGAAATACAAATGAAAAGTCATCCAATAAATTTTTCAAGGTATCAAAATGAGTAATGTGAGCAAGCTCCATTTTAGAAGGGGCATGAGACAGCAGAACCACTTCTGATGGCTGTTGGCACAGCAAATTGACTGATGTGCTCGTCCTGTAAGATGATTTGAAAGCAGCTTATTGGAATCTATGAACCATAGTTTGTTTGCTTTACATTTAGGAATTCCAGTTCTGGAAAAATGCCTTAAAATGATTGGGGAATAAAAGTTATATCTTACACAGATGTTTGCATCATTGGTGTATATAATAGTAAAAATTTGATAATAATTCAGATACACTATAAAAGGGAAACAGCTAAGCAAGCTGTGTTATACTAAAAACACAGAACATCAAATAGATAATTAAAAATAAATGTATAAGCTTATAATATGTGAGTTAAAAAATGAATCTGAAAATAAAATAGGCTCAAAGATCTGATTCACTGATTGAACTATGGGAAAAACAACAACAAAAAAGCCTATAATTGTAATTTGTTTAACATCTAGAAAAAGTATGGATATAGAAGTTGCATTTTTATTAGTATGTGTTTCCTTTTTTATTGATCTTATGGTACTTAAATTCTCATTGGCTTGCTGTCTTGTGTATCTAAAAACAAATAAAGAATATAAGGAAGCACACATCAGAAATGGGTCAATTTTATATCTAAATATAATTACTCTACATCTCAGATGTGATCCCATACGCAGCTTCCTGGGAACCCCATCTGATAGAAACAGTAGGAGAAGGCATAAGAGGGAGGAAAAAAAAGAAGTAAATGCATGTAAGGTCAGGAAAAATAGTCTGAGCATTCATCATTCTTGGCTGAAACATACATGTGAGAACAGCCCCACCCATAACTAGTCACAAATGGCCTGTCAAAATAAAAAAGTAAAATAGCAGCATATGCTGGAAACTTTGCTGTTTTTATGATAAGCAGAGACATTTTCTCGCAAGTCTCCCCTTCCTTCACACTGCTGAGAATCCAGCCTTCTGTATGCTGTGATTGCAGACTTTTTCTGGGTAAATTTTCGACTTTTTCTCACCCTGCGGAGTGATCTTCAGCATCCAAGCTGAATGTGTCTGTTTGATATTTCAAAAATAACTCGGTTCCCCGGAGCCTCTATTTCCATTTAGCTCCCATCCCCCCACCACTCCCACAATCATCGCATGTTCTCCATGGAGTCAGATTTGCTTCCATTGGTGTCATTATGAACATTAAAAATAGAGTTTCAGAGGAGAACACAGATACTCCACCGTGCTGTACATTTTTCCAAGAAGCACAACACTGCATAATTTCTCAAATGCGACCCTGTTTTCATCTTGCCAGCAATTTGGCAGTTCTCAGTTTTCAAAGGTTACTGCTCTGAATTTGTTTTCTTGGTAATCTCGCAGCCCATTTGTTCTGCCTAATGCTGAAAATCTATGTAAGATCTTGACCTCCATATGTCATACACCAGTAGATTTACCCTTTCCTTGAAAATTCTGTCCTACACTAAAAAAGGAAAGAAAAGGAATTTCATGACTTGTTAAAATGACATGTGGGTTAAATGTTTAAGGAAAAAGTCAAGGGGTCTCAAGCCCTAGGTAGGACTTAACTCTCTGACTTTTGAGAGTAAGAATATCTTTCCAATTTTCTAGGACACACACCGAAAATTATTTATCCCTGAAAGAAAACATTCAGTTAATTTACCAGGCCTGTGAGGTATCTATCTTGCTCAGAAGGTAATTCCACCTTTATTTTAATGAACATATAAAAGGGAATAATTATAGGGTCATAAACCACAACAAACAAACAAACAAACAACAAAAAAGAGGGAAGCCAGCCCTGTATACAAAATAGTGTGGAGATAAATATTTAAGTGACAAATGAACTTTGTCTATGGACTGGTCATTTTCTATGTGTTTATTGAATACCAAGTCTCCCCAACCAGCCTACTGGGATCTCAGGTTCTATGGAGTCAACAGAATTAAGGCAAGTTTCTTAACCTCAAGAGATATCATTTTATTGAGGGAGAATTAACATGCCTGAAATAATTAGAGAACAACAAATGCTAAGCCATGTGACTACATAATTTTGGAAAGGAAAGGAAGTAGAGTGTGAGAGGAGCATTGAGGGATGAGAAGGAAAGAGATGGACAAAGGAGGCGAAGAGGAAGCTGGGCTGGCATGGGCAGTGACAGTGTACCAGGCAGAGAAACAGCCTGGGTAGAGACCCAAGGGAAGAAGGAGTAAGACGAATGTGGGGTAGAGGATGCGGTTAGATAAGGAGGGCTGAGGATGGACCATGGAGCTCTGGCCCCCATGTGATAGGCAGTGGGGCTTTCCTGAGGAAAGGGTGCTCTAGGAAGAATTGTCTGGTACTGCTGGGGAATGGGTGAGTGCAGGGCAGGAAGCTAGAAACCTGATCCCCTCACTTATGCTGCTGTGAGTTTGAAATATGACCATTTCTTGAAAGAGAACCAAGGGGAAGTTTGAGGGAAGAGTCAAAAAAAGATAAAGGAGAACTTGCTGTAAGCTTTATCAGGAATAGAGTTGAGGAGTGGGTGACAAATGGACCTTACAGTTGATGTTATACTCTAAACATTTGACAACTCTGTGTGTGTGTGTGTGTGTGTGTGTGTGTGTGTGTGTGTTTATTTTTTTGCAAAGGCCATGACATTTTCATATAAGAATTAAAAATGTAATCCTAATATTTATGGAGGACTTTAAAAATAACGACATCACTGATAAATGGGGTAAATGTGGAAGGCTGCTGGTCTCTTTTCTGGTGGGTGCATATGTACACACACACATACCCATCTAAGTCTGATTTGCACAGAATACATGTCCTTTTTTATTTAATATATTTTATTGATTTTTTTACAGAGATGAAGAGAAAGGGATAGAGAGTTAGAAACATCGATGAGAGAGAATTATTGATCAGCTGCCTCTTACACACCCCCTATTGGGCATGTGCCTGCAACCAAGGTTCATGCCCCTGACCGGAATCTAACCTGGGACCTTTCAGTTCGCAGGCCGACGAGCTATCCATTGAGCCAAACCGGTTTTGGCAGAATACATGTCCTTAATCAACTAGTTTCTGACTCCCAGAGCCTTATGCTCTGTGGGCCTGGAGCTGTTTTGCCTCTTACCCCCCTAGCCCCCTTTCATGATGCCCCTTCCACTCTCTCTCTGATTCCTCAATGCCAGACAGATCTGGCCTTTGCTGCTGCCTCTCAGTTGTCATTGTCCATTGTCTACTTGGAGATAATTCTACTGAGTCTTCCTTGAGTCTAAATCCTACTGTCCTTTGCATCCTCCCAGGGCCGTGTGTTACTCTGCCATCCATCTTCCACTTTTGTCCAACTTGGGGGATCTGACTGGCAGTCAGAAGTGCCCAGTGCTGGGGCATTGGCCTGATGCCAGGACTTTGTTGACTGCAGCGATGTGTGTAGATTAATGAGCACAGAGCACACACGCACAATAACGGGCAATCAGGCTTTCCAACTGATTGCGTGATTTATAGAAGAGATGGTCCAGCCCCTATAATATACAGCAGTGGCATCATATGTGTGAACTAAGAATCTGCGAAATAAATCAAGCCCCAGAACCTTTAGAGGCTACATGTGCACCAGCTGGTCAGCGGGAGCTTTGTGGTACAAACAGCAAATAGGCAAGGATTTATTTATTTGAACTCTAACATGTATGCGTGACTTTGCATTAAGAAAACTCCAAGGGGAATGCTCCACATTTCATAGTAAACAAAGGGTGAAGAAAAATGTGTTAGGAGTGGTGATTTGGCCAGTAATAATCACGGAAGAGCAATAGCTTTTTTAAAAAATAAAATTAAAGCTCTGATGCACGACCACAATAGATGCCTATCTGAGGCAGCCTCCAGTGTGTCACTGCTACTGGCTTTGCTTTAGACTCTGTCAGCTATACAACCCATGCCACCCAAAGGGATTTCACCACGAGAGCTCTGAGCTCTTTCAGAGAAAGAATGTGTCTGTGACATAACAGAATTTTAATGCTTTCTTTCATCAAAGCATGAAAAATTTATTAAATTAGAAAAAAAAGTCAAGATCTTTAAAAATTAACATTTATTTTTTGTTTGTTTTTTTAAATATATTTTATTGATTTTTTTTTATTTTTTTTTTTTACAGAGAGGAAGGTAGAGGGATAGAGAGTTAGAAACACTGATGAGAGAGAAACAGTGATCAGCTGCCTCCTGCACACCCCTTACTGGGGATGTGCCCACAACCAAGGACACACTCCGGACTGGAATTGAACCAGAAACCCTTCAGCCTGCAGGCTGACTCTCTATCCACTGAGCCAAACCAGTCAGGGCAAAAAATTAACACTTCTTTATGAAATTGTAGTACAAGTCAAATTTAGGATTTTCTAAAAATGAAGACATTAAATAAAGCAAAGTCCATAGATTTTGAACAACTACCAAATGTAT